AGAAAATCAGTTCCGTTGCAAGATTAAAGCTATTCAAACAGACCAATGAAAAGAGTTCAAAATGACCATATTTTTTCTTCAAAAGGAATTATTCACCAACAAAGTTGTACCTATACTCCTCAACAAAACTCTATAGTAGAAAGAAAGCATTTACATTTGTTAAATGTGGCAAGGGCCTTAAGGTTCCAAGACAACCTACCATTGAAGTTTTGGGGAGAATTCGTCCTTATAGCCGCATACTTGGTCAACTATACTTCGTCACCAAATCTACAAAACCAAACCCCTTACTAAATCATTTTCTACAAAATTCCTACCTATTTTCACTTAAGAACTTTGGGATGTCCATGTTATGCATCAAACCTTGACCATCACTGATCCAAGTTTGATTCAAAGGCAAGGAAATGTATTTTTATAGGATATCCAAATGGGATTAAGGGCTATAAGCTCTTCGACATGAAAACTCATGAAATCTTAGTTAGTCGCGATGTGCTCTTTTATGAAGAAATTTTCCCTTTCAAACGCCTCACTGACATGCCCTTTCTTTTGCCCCCTCCGACCATATACACACTAGATAATACTCTTGTTATTCCTAATCCCATTTCCTATCAAATAGAATTGTCACAACAACCAGCACGCACCAATATTGAGGAAAATATACAATTTTCATCCTATACGTCCATCAACACTCCAGATCGAATGGGGATTGCACATATTCTGACTCTCCTCACTATAGAAAATCCCAACTCACCACAGATACCTCCTATCCAAATGATAGCATCTCTGCCCCAGCTTAGAAGAGCCACTAGAGACAGAAAATTAACCAATTACCTTAAAGCCATTGCAAGTTGGTGACCTCTTTAGCAACACCAAAAGAGCTCATCTTGACAAGCTATCTGATGAAGGTAATCCTCATGCACTCTCTTCGTTCATAATTACGCACATTTGTCACCATCACATTTGAAATTCACCTTAGCAGTTAGCCTTGAACTTGAGCCCATTTTTTATGCCAAAGCCATGACATACCCTCATTGGATGATTGTTATGAGTGATGAAATAAGAGCATTAGAAGAAAATCAGACTTGGGTACTTACACGGCTACCAGACGGAAAGAAAACTATTGGATTCAAATGGGTGTTCAAGACCAAATATAAAGCTGATAGAAGCATTGAACGACACGAGGCGAGATTGGCTGCAAAATGCTACACTCAAAGGGAAGGTGAAAACTACTTTGAGACCTTCTCACCTATTGCTAAGATGTCCGCTGTATGCTATCTCTTAGCCCTTGCAGCTTCCAAAAACTTGCTCCTATCTCACCTTGATGTTAATAATGCTTTATTGTATGGAGACTTGGATGGAGAAGTGTACATGTCTCTACCTCCGAGATATGGAACTTAAGGGGAGCAATTGGTTTGCAAATTAAGGAAGTCACTCTACGAATTGAAAGCAAGCATCTTGTTAATGGAACCAAAAACTCACTTCAGTCATCACTAAGATTGGGTTTACCCAATCAAAGGCTAACTCCTCGTTATTTGTTAAGAAAACAAGCACTTCATTTACTGTTATGCTGATGTACATAGATGACATCGTTATTGCAGGTGACAATACTTTTGAATTACAGCAATTGAAGGACTATTTAGTACAAAATCAAGCTCAAGGACCTGGGACTATTGAAGTATTTTTTAGGCATCGAATTGGCACAATCATCTCAAGGCATTTGTGAGAGAAAAGTTGCCTCGAATCCAGTTTACCATCAACGAACGAAACATATTGAAATCGATTATCACATTGTGAGAAAAAAGTTGCAAGAAGGTTTATTAAAACCATCACATATTTCATCTAAGTTGGAAGTGGCAGATATCCTCACCAAGGCAATTGGTTCATGACAGTTTCATTTTCTTCTAAGCAAGATGGGGATTCATAACATCACATCGCTATCTTGAAGGCGAGTAACAAACAGAACACAGAAGACATGTGAGCTGCACAGAAAAATGTGGCACAAATTTTGAAGTTTGACTTAACCATTTATAGTCTAACATGTTTTGAAGAAGCAAAGTAGCATGAAATGGACATTCCTCTGTTAGAATTCTACATTAGACAATTTTGAAGTGATGTTATAGCTGTAATATGGCTCTTCGTTTTGTATTGTTAGCCGTAGATTGATTTTGATTCTCAAAGCTTTTGTAATATTTAAGAACCCATTTGCTTGTATTCATTTTGAAGTGTGAGGAATACATTGGAATTATGGTGTAACAGTATTGGTCACCAAACTATTTCCTATCTTCATTTCTTGTTAGCGTTAAAAGTCAGTTAATCTTGTAAGTTGCTGCTGAAATTGCTTGAGAACTGGGCTGGAATTAATGCTTAACTAGTTGTAGGATTTCAGGATGCATAACTGGACTAGAAACAGCCTTTTTGGACCTTGAATATTGTCACAATCTACTCCATGATGGCAATTATGTCGAGAAAACTTGTCGGTTTATAAGATGTAGCCCCATTTCTTAGCTACCGCTACCTATAGCTTCAAGAATCACCTTATTTTGACATCTCTACCAAAAGTAATGCCCCAAATACCGAGACTTACTAAAAGTGAGATAGTTTTTCAAGCAAGGGACTTGGGCAAAGAAAGTCATACTCCTGTTCTACCAACTACTCTGTCTCATGTAGAGTTTTTTGACTATCCTTTTCGTATAGACTCGTTCTTATGTCAAAGACTGTTTACTCAAGAATGAAAGGCATTTCACAACCTAGAATCCTTTACACTTTTAGCCTGGAAAGAAAAGTATGGTAAGTTGCTGGCGAATTTCCTCTTGGACCTAGCAACTTTGGGCCTTTTCAGCTTGCTACTTTTAGACCTCATCTGTTTTGGCCTAAACACAATTAAGGGGCCATTTAAGCCCTATTATTTGTAGATTATAATGAGATGAATAATATTTTTTTTAAAAATAAGTGATTGAAAAGTTTTTGATTTACGTGTAATATTATTTTATTGAAAATTGTGTGGTTAAAAGTAGGCGAGAAAAAAGTTTAATTTAATGTAATGAGAAATAATGGGGCTCAAACGAGGGCTAACACATAACATTCTGTAAAATACCATGCACAAAATAATTGTGCTAAAAATACCACAATTGTCATTATTTTACTTAGTCCAAAATGTATTTTCATACACTTATCAATAGAAATATCTCTTGCTCCTATAAGGTCTCATGTTGTTTGTTATTTGTGCTAGAAACATGAATTACTTCTCGGTATTCAAAAAACAATTATAAAATTGATTGAATAATAGGAAGAAAATTAATTCAATAACAACCGATGAATTAACTAGATTTTAAATTAAAATGAACAATTTATTGGATTAAAGAATTAACAAGGTTCCATCAAAATTGAAACAACCAAGAAGTGTAGGCTATCGTGTATTGATCACAAAAATAAAAGGTAAATAACGAATATATAACCTCAGTAATTTGAAGGTAAAAAAGAGTAGAATCATTCTTCAATGGGTATTGAAAGTCGTGCCATGAGAATGAGATTACAAAAAACGATATTTATTTTAGGTGAAAACAAATTTCAAGTTGATGCAAACCCAATGGAGATCAATGTTTGCAAAATGGTAATCTCTTATAATCCAAAATTTCGAATTGGAACCCTTTTCTGCGTTGTACTCCAAATTCAATTATTTTTTTAATGGTATATAATTTTTCTGTTTCGAATTGGATTTTTTTTTTTTTTTTGCATTGAACTCCAAATTCAATTATTTTTTCAATGGTATATAATTTTGTTGAAAATTTTTGCAACAAACTTCATGCTCATTAGTTTTTCATTCCTTTTGGTCCTATCATGCTTAAACTTCCCTTCTTTTACATCGATAATATTTAAATTGAGGGTTTCTTCTACAAAACAATATATACACTAATATGATTAGAAATTCGACCAAATTATCATATATTAGATAAATTTAAAAGTCTAAATGAGCTTGTAAAGCATGTTCGTCACCTACCTAATAAGTGTTGGGAGATAAAATTTCACATCGAATAAAGATGAAAAAGTAAACAAACTTTTAAAAGTTTAGAGTACTCTCTCAATAAGATTAATCTTTTAATATAGAACTTCAAATCTTAATATTGTATCAAAATTCATTAAAATCTAATGAACAATTTGATCCCATTAAAGCTTAAAAACGAACACATGAATTTCAAGATTAATTTGTTTAAACAAGTCACCATTTTACTGGACATGTTAAGGGATATAATATAATATTGAATAAATATGAAAATATAAGCGAACTTACAAGAGTTTAAACTACTTCTTTTAATAAGATAAACGTTTTAAGATGAATCTCAAGTCCAAATAATAAATTATAAATGTAATACCTATAAAACAAAATCTCATAATACTCAAATATCATCTTAAATTTGCATAAAACTTCCACACAATATTATATTTGAAGGGCAACGACCCGTCAACCTACTAATATTTTGTGAATCATGCTACTTGTACAATTTCTTTTTAGATTATTTGATAGATGTTGAGGTGGCATGCATTTTAGTCCCTCACAGCATCATTATAGATGTTGATGTGACATGCATTTTAGTCCCTCTCAGCATCATTGTACAAGTAACTTAATTATTATTTTGTAATTAAATTTTTTTAAACACAAATTTAGTGTTTGTTTGGTAGGGATTTTATTAATTGATTTTTTGGACATTAAAGATAAAGTAAGTCTTGCGGGTGATAGAAGAATTCAAAAATAACAACTGAAATAGTAAAATAACAATCTAAAAATTAATTTTAATTGAATTTTAAGTTGTACCAAACATACTCTTAATTATTGAGAAATTAATTTGCCCTGAACCACACGCTACCGCCGTCGGTTCAATTTAACTTTGGGCGTTAAGATAGACCATAGGGGCTTTTAATGTAAAATTCTAGAGTTTCTACATAAAGTTGAGGAGCAAGCAGTCGATTGGTGGCATCCCCGTAATTACATGTCATATCAATGCCTAGTTTCGTAAACCATCAGATCGAAGCAGACATACGAACAAACTTGCCACTGTTGATCCTTCACCGAACAGCTTGCTTCAACTACTCTCTCTCTCTCTCTCTCTCTCTTTATAGAGAGATACACATCAGTTTCTCACTGTAAACTACTACAATGGCAACGCCAATTTGGTTTCTTGTTCTGTCCATTCTCTTCATTTCGGCTTCTGCCACTGCGAATGTCCAAAGTAAGAATCTTTTTATTGTCATTTTTGTTCTTCCTTTAATTTTAAGAAAATATTTATTATCTGTGCAATGTCCCACTATGGCTTTATTCTTTTTACAAGGAAATTTATGTCGATGTACTAATTTGATTTGTTACTGAAATTGGGTTTTCTTTTTGTTCATTTAATTCACTGGTTTCTTGATGCTTGTATTCAAAGTCTGCATTTGAGTAGTTATTACTGTCTCTTTAAGTTTTTTTTCCTCTTTATTTGATAATTAACACTTCTGTGTAGATTTTAAAGGAAATAATGTGATTCTCAATGAATTTTATTTGTGTTTATAATCAATTTGAAGAAAGATCTTTAGATGAATGGTTAATTTCCTGGGATTCCGCAATAAAATTCTATTGAAGATCTGTGTACTTGTTCAATTGCAGAGATTAATTCAAACATAAGTGTGTATATATAGAAGAGTGCCCTTGGGATATGATGGAGAATATAAAAACAGGGTGTAGTGAGATATGAATGAGGGGAACATAAGCAATGTCTGCACATGTAGCGGTAACATGTGCAAGGTTGTCGACAAATTGTCCCTTGAGCATATGATTAGAAAGAGAAGGTCCATTTATAGGATTGAGTTTAGCATTTGTCTTAGTTTTGTTGTCTGTCAATCTTGCTCAAGCTAGAGGCATGTTTAGCTCGTGATAATTAATACGGGCCTAAAGAGTAACTAAGAGAGTCGAAATATTGATTTAGACCCAAATGCTAGAAAGATTATCACTGCTAATAATCAGATCATAAGTGTATGTAAAGAAATAAGAGTGATAATTTAAAACAAAATTGTAAGACTTAGAGCTTCTTGCTTTTGGTCACAGAGCAAGACAGAGAATACTTATTTACAGTGAACAGTGAACACCTGCCTCTCAATGCTCACAAAGAGTGATATAAAAGGAAACAATTTAATTTTTTATCAACAATGGATAACAAATGCTAAAGCTTTATGATCGAGACAGCTATTTTATTTTGCTATGATAAGACTATTGCAAAACAGATGGAGCTAACAAAGTTATTATATTTTTGGTCGAAACACAGACAAAGTTACAGATAATCCTGCTGATCAGTTAGTAGCATTGATTAACAGTAACAGAACCGCGAGTAAATCATCGTCTTTGTACAGCAATCAAGGCCTTGCATGCATTGCTCTCCAATACATAAAAGCATACCAAGGCGACTGTAGTGTGGTGGGCGGGGTAGATGCCAAAAAACCAAACGAGTCTCAGTTTACCGAAACTTTTGCACCCACTTGTGGTGTAGAGGCCTCGACCCTAACTCCAATCACCGGCCGACTACTGGGATGCCAGTCAAAATACGCCAAGCCATCAGAAGCATTTTCCGAAATTCTGATGAAGAATGATAAGAGCTTGGAAATAGTCCATAACAAGAATCACACAGAAGTGGGTGCTGCCGTGAGTGGCTCTGATGGTGGTGGTCCCTATTTCTGGTGTGTGCTGTTCAGCAATGGCAAATCCAACCATAGTTTTGTCCCTGAAGAAGGTGTAGCTAAGATAAGTCGACCCGGATGCTTCAGCGGTGCCAATGATCAGTGCAGTGGTGCTCCTGCTTTATCCCAAACCCCTCGTCTTCTGCCAATTGCAGTAGGAGCTTTAATTGCATTGGTATGTGCCTTCGGAATTTGATATGCTATAAATTGTTTTTGACTTGATTTGTAAGGCAACTTCTTAGTTATGGTGTATTCTCTGTATTTGTTTGTTCATTCAATTGATCTCGAGTTTAAATGTGTGATTCTTGAATATATATAATTGCATCATTTAATGTTTCAAAATATACATTTTGATCTGCAATATAGTCATGAAACATTATTATAACGTTTATGCCTCTGTGATCAGAATTTTTGTCTAACATTTGACATTCCTATTATGTGGCTGCTTAGTACTGCAAGGACTAGATATATATTTTGTTGATGGTGAAATTTTACTTGACTAACTCCTTTTAACTTGGAAGCAGTAATCCATTGGATAAGACTGCAAACTACATACATACATACATACATACATATATATATATATATATATAGACACACACACACATATACATACTTACATACATACATATACATATATATACACATACATACATACATACATACATACATACATACATACATACATACATACATACATACATACATACATACATACATACATACATACATACATACATACATACATACATACATACATACATACATACATACATACATACATACATACATACATACATACATACATACATACATACATACATACATACATACATACATACATACATACATACATACATACATACATACATACATACATACATACATACATACATACATACATACATACATATAAATGTATATATGTGTGTGTGCATACATACATATATAAATATATATAAATATATATATATATATATATATATATATATATATATATATATATAGACACACACACACATATACATACTTACATACATACATATACATATATATACACATACATACATACATACATACATACATACATACATACATACATACATATAAATGTATATATGTGTGTGTGTATATATATATATTGGTAAGGGAGCTCGACTATTGAAAGTGTGAATTGCTGATTTTCTCCTAGTACTATAGCTTAGAAAACATTTGAACAAAGTTTCAAGAGTAATGATTTTTCTAAAACCATGTTTACAAACAGCAGTCTATGTGGCAGTGTGTCAGTATCACATTTTCTAATGAAGTTGGGATGCATTTTAATTTAATGGAGAATGCGGCAATGATCCCATTGCCACAGAGATGAGCTTACAAATAGCATATTTGAGTTTCAATAGTACCGGAATAATGTAATAGAACGAGATGCTCATAGAGAGAGAGTCGAGGCCCTTTCTACATATTGATGAGGTGACCTTGCATCGTTCCTTTTGATCAGGTGGGGTCACGTCCCTAGATTTTGTTATGAGACGTTTTTTATTTGGGCGCATGTGCATAATGAGTTGTGTATCCTTTTGAAGTGTTGGCTTTATAGACGATCCTGAGATCTTTCGTCCAACTTTCGAAGCCTTTACGAATTTGTTATTTGAGTTCTGACTTGCCTTTCGAAGCCGCTATGGATTTCTCATTTGAGCTTTGACCTCTTGTGCAAAACCCTTCATTCCTGAATTGATGCTTTCAACCTTGACAATGCTAGGTGTCAACTTTGTCAGTAATGAGATTGGAAGGTCTTGTCTAGTGTTTCCTAGCCGATTCGATTTGTTTCTTTTATTATGCATCTCATCAAGTCTCTGTTTGTGATTCATGAAGCAAGCTACACCACATCCAATATGGCACGAAATGATCGTGCCAACTTAGCGTGATAAGGTGACTCCACATCAATGGGTAGAAATTGAGTTTGGCTCGTCTAAGTCAGGTCGTACTGGGTCTAGAAGCTCGAGCTCGCGGGACTCTAAAATCTACAATGCACGTGCCTTAAACGGCTACTTCACCTTCTTCCCTAAATTAACTTAGCCATCCAGAACCTTTAGATTAGGAATCCATTTAAGTTTTTCATGGATTGAAGTATGAAGGAAGAATTTCATCATCCACCAGATTCAAAAGTAATTTCGTTGATTCTTGACAAAAATATTGAAGGTAGTAAAGAAACCAATAATCATCCTATAAAAAAAACAATAAATTTGGAACAAAGCAATTTTATACATAAATGATTGCTGCAAATGATTATAATTTTGTCCTTTCTTGAACTCTGTTCCTTCCACAGTACGACTTACCAGTTTGTCCAACGTTTGATTCCAATAAAACAATTCTTAATAAGACTATACTTGGGAACAAAGTCAAAAATTTATTGAAGTATCGAGTCTTGTCAGCATTACATACCAAATGTTCATGCCTCGAATTCATACTCGAGGCTTTACACTTCCAAACTAGTCCAAAAGCAGCTAAAACAATGATATTATACATTTGTTTTAATCCTCGTTCCTGTAAAATGACTATAGTGTAAAGAATAAAAATCAAAATCAAAATCTTGTTTATTGTACTGAAAACGCCTAAAATAGTGATAGTATACACTTGTTTTTTTCTTGAACATAGCTAAGATTTAAAAAAAAAAAAAAAAAAAAAAGGGGGTTAAATTTTTTTTTTTTTAATTTTTTTTTTTTTTATTTTTTTTTTTTTTAAAAAAACTAAAATTTAAAAAAAAAAAAAAAAGGGGGTTAATTTTTTTTTTTTTTATTTTTTTTTTTTTTAAAAAAACTAAAATTTAAAAAAAAAAAAAAAAGGGGGTTAATTTTTTTTTTTTTTATTTTTTTTTTTTTTAAAAAAACTAAAATTTAAAAAAAAAAAAAAAAGGGGGTTAATTTTTTTTTTTTTTATTTTTTTTTTTTTTAAAAAAACTAAAATTTAAAAAAAAAAAAAAAAGGGGGTTAATTTTTTTTTTTTTTATTTTTTTTTTTTTTAAAAAAACTAAAATTTAAAAAAAAAAAAAAAAAAAAAAGGGGGTTAAATCTTGTTTATTTTAATGTTCAGCACGGTCGAGATACACCGAGTTCATACCAAAGAGGATTTAAACTTTAAAACTAAACCGAGAACAACTAAAACAATTATAATCCCAGTTGAAGAACCCCCAACCCTATGAATCCAGTAAGGATCAAACCCGGCGAATCCAGTCTCCAGGAAACATGAAAAAGCAATTCCCAATATCAGACCCAGCAGCAGAAGAGACAGACAGGAAGAAAAAAATATGGGTACTTCTTCAATTTCTGGCTCAAATATGGATCTCCGATCAATATATAATGGAGATAATATAGCAAGTATTGAAAATCCTATGACCAATAGCTTGAGATCATGTGATGTAATTCTTCTTCTCCTCAGTATAGCCGTTTGATCTTGCTCCATTGAAACAACTAGACATAAATTTGATTCAGGGCGAATTAACTAATGGTACAAACCATTATAAATAACAAACTATATTCTCTTTTATAATTATTCTCTAGAACATGTTTGGCTGAGCTTTAAAAGTTTACTTGTAAGCAAGTTCTAAGACATATAATTTTGTATTGGTCGATAAGTAAATTAATTAGAGGGTAAGAATATAGTTATTTTGAAGGCATGTATTATATCTTTTCACTTGGAACGTTTTAAAAAGTTGTAAGGATTTGAGATCGAGATGGCATGATACTTCATTCTTAACGGTCTAATTGTATTTCACATCACTCGTGAAAAATATGTCTTGCGGGTTTATAAGCACTTTGGGTATCCTTCCTGTAGAAATCGACTTCACACAAACTAGGTTAACATTAGCCTTTAGGAATGGAACCTTAAATTCCAACAAACTTAATTCGTGGAAAAAAAAGAAAAAAAAAATTTACTTAAAAGTAACTTATATTCTACTATTACTTGGCCAAACATTCTCCATTGCTAATATTCTTTTCTCTTCAAAGTCAATTTCGTGTCTAAAAGGGTGACATTGGAGTGTGTCCAAAGGAAGGTTATTGGGCAGCTTGTAAAGTAAGCTGGCGATGAGATTGTGTTTGGATCGGCATAACTTTGAGAAAAAGAGAAGCATTAATCTCCACTTATACACTCAACTCTAGTGGTGCACCTGCATCACATTGGAATCGGATTCTGCCTGCGTTAAATTCAATTAGGTAAATAGCAGCAGACGTCCCCAACTTTTGTTGCATGTTGCACTTTTGTCCCTAACCTTCAAAGCTGTGCATAGTGGATCGACTCTATTACATAAGTTAGATTCCTAATTTTTATCTCACGTTGTGAGTAGGTATATTTACCATCATGACATAAATATGCAACTATCATCATATATTGAAGGAAGAAAAGAATTTTAATATACGATCAATCGTGAAATGATACATTCAATCCATATAAATACAAGAGGAATCTAACTAACTACTACAGATGTATGATGGCTAATTGACATCTAGCATCTATACAATTGGCGCCAAGATTAGTTGCAGCATGTCGATCACATGAGCTGCTGGAGCTTGAACTCTATTACTCCCTATCAAGATGGACTATGCAAATCAAGAATAGCCATCTTGGATGGTAGAGGAAAAATAAGAGATGATGGCAAATGTTTGGTGAAGACATCAGCCAATTCGTGTTGATTGCGAACCATTAAAAGCTTGACGAAACCATTATTGACCTTATCTAAAAAAAATGACAAGTCAATTTCGATGTGCTTTGTTCGTTCATGGAAAATTGGATTGGTGGCAATATGGATAGCAGCCTGATTCTCATAGAAAACAAAGGGTGGAAAGCAAATTTTGACCTGCATATCAAGAAGAAGCTGATAAATCCAAACAATCTCACAAGCAAAGGATGATAAGGCACGGTATTCAGCTTCTACTGATGATATGGAAATGGTAGCTTGCTTCTTAGACTTCCAAGAAATCAAAGAATTCCCAAGGAAAATATATAAGCTAGTGATTGATCGCATTGAATCAACACAAGACCCCCAATCTGCATCTGAGAAAGCTCAAATATGGAAAGAATAATAGGCATCAAATAGCAAGCCTTGACCAAGTGCTGTGTTGAGATACTTGAGAAGATGATAGACAACATCTGAATGAGGCTAAGAGACAAACTGACTTAGTTTGCAAACGGCAAATGTAATATTTGGCCGAGATATTGTTAGATATAGCAGTCGATCAGCTAGTCTGCGATACAAAGATGCATCTTCAAGAAGTTTTCCTTCAAATGAATCTAGATGAACTTTAGGATCCATTAGTAATTGAGCTAGTTTGCAAGCCAAAAATCCAGTGTCT